GCACATGCGCCCAGCGTGAGTTTTAAGCCACCGATCTGGGACGCGAACCGCGGTTGACTACGTGGGAGTCCAGCGACATAGCCATTACACTAACTGCTGGTTCCCAATTTCTTCATTTATTTTTATTTGACCCAAAAGAGACAGAGTGAACGATTGGGGGGGGGTAGCAAATCGTCAGGTCTGGGACTCAAACTGCAGTTGGCCATGTGGGAGTTCAGCATCCTTACCACCATGCCACTGCTGGCCCCTGATGATAATTTTTAAATGATGATTTTGTTTATTTTTAGATTTTTGCCATAGGGCATGTGCACTCTCTGGAAAGAGACAGAGAGAGAGAGAGAAAGTGAGAAGTAACTCCCCAGGTGGGATGGCCATGCCACAATCCTTTCTTCGTTCTCTCGGGATTCGGGGCACATACACATAAGTACCTGGCGTGTTTTTCAAGCCTACGGGTCTAGGACTTAAACCACAAAGTCAGTCATGTGGGACCCAGCACCTTAACAACTGCATCTATTGGCTCTAAATTATCTTTTTTTTTTGGGGGGGGGATTATTTGTTTGTTTGTTTATGGTTTTTGTCATAGGGGCACAAGTGCTTGCTGGAGACAGAGACAGAGGAAAAGCAATCATTCCCCCAGAGAAGATGGCTATGCTGCAATCCCTTCTCCTTCATTCTCCTCTTAGGATTTTGGACACGCATGCACACACACACACACACACACACACACCCTGTGTGATTTTCAAGCCATTGGGTCTGGGACTTCAACCACAGTCAGCCACGTGGGAGTCCACAAGAGCCTTAACCACCATGCCACCTACTGGCCCCTAAATGAAAAAAAAATTTTTTTTTCAGAAAATTATTTATTTATTATTGTTAGTATTATTTTTCACATGAGTTTTGCCAGAGAAAGACAGAGAGAGAGGGAGAGTGAGAAAGCAAGCCGCGAGAGCGGGGACTCAAACCATGGCCTGCCATGTGGGAATTCCAACACCTTAACCACCATGCCACCTGCTGGCCTCTAAATGAAAATTTTTTAACGTTTGGGCAAGGCTGAAAATTTAGTTGGCCTCTGATTGTTTAAATGTTCAGCTGCCGGGACCAGCAGATAACATTATGGTTATGTTGCTGGACTCCCACATAGTTGAACGCAGTTTGAGTCCTGGACCCAGTGGCTTAAAACTCATGCCTCTTCCAAGAGGAGAATGGAGAAAAGGATTGCAGAGTGGCCACCCTCCTGCAGGGGGTGGTTTCTCACTTTCTGTCTCTCTATCTCTCTGTCTGGTGAGCACATGTGCCCTATAGCAAAAATCTCTCTCTAGGAAAAAAAGAAACAGAAAACCTCACTTCCTCTGGGAAACCCTCCCAGACCACCACCTTGGTGGAATTCATCCTGTTTATCTGTCTTTGCTCCTGAGGCTGTTACCTCCATTACCCGTAGTTCTACGATTCCTTTCTAGTCTGTCAGCCCCACCAGACTGCTCACCCCAATCAGGGTTCATGCCTCATCTCCGTCCCGGTCCCCTAAGCCTAGCATGGTTGTACTGCAGAAGCCATTCATAAAAGCCCAGTCTGGGAAGGAATGACCAGCATCCAGGCCCTATAGCCCTGACGGCGCTGTCTCCCACATGACGCAAAGCATAGCTGCTGAAGAACAATTTCTCCTTTCTTGACCGGAGAGACAGCTCTGCGAGATAAACTGACTGCGGTGAGAGGCGAGGCCAGATGGGCTGACGGAGCGGGGGAATTCATTTCCTCGTGGATATTAAAGATGTTATCCGGCAGGCGTGCGGCTGCCAGGACACTCAGCAGTGTGGTGGGTGGTTCTCTAGCTCATGCTGCATCTGCAGACCAGTTCTGCAAATGCAGTAAAGCCCTGGCAGCCTGAGACGTGCACCGCCCTCCTGTCTCCTTTTCACCCTTCCACATAGCTCAGCCTGAGAGAGGTGACCAGAACGGACTCCAGATTCCTGTCTTGTCCTCTGCCCAGAATGTCTGCCTCATCTACCTGCCTCTTCCAAGAGAGGTGGCAAGTCAAATGCCCTGGGAGGTGGGCCTTGTTCCTTGTGTCTAAGCTCGAAGGTTCTTGACATTTTTAAAAACTTGCCCTTGAGGGCCAGCCAGTGGCACAGTGGTTAAGGTGGCTGGATCCCACATGGCCGACTTTGTGGTTTGAGTCCCAGATGTGGTAGCTTGGGAAGCACGCCAGATAGGTGCATGCATGCCCAGAATCCTGAGGAGCAAATGGGATTGCCCCACGTGGCCATCCCCACCTCCCCCCATGAGCCACAGGGGCACGATTTCTCACTTCCCCTCTCCCTCTGTCTCTGCCTGGCTCCAGTGAACACATCCCATAGCAAAAATAAAAACAAAAAAAAAATTGTGCATGGGCCAGCCTGTGGCCTGGTGGTTAAAGAAACTGGATTTTACATAACTAGCTCCGCAGTTTGACTCCCAGAGTTGCAGCCCTGGCAGCTGAGAACTACACCGGGCACGTGTGCATGCATGTCCAAAATTCTAAAAAACAAATGGAGAAACAGGAGAGGGGTTACAGCATGACCATGTCCCACAGAAGGTGCTTTCTCTCTCTGGCAGGTCCTGGCCCTTTGGCAAGTTAAAAATATACACGGTGGGCCGGCAGGTGGCATAGAGATTAAGGCACTAGATCTCACATGGCCAACTGCATGGTTCCAGTCCCAGACCCAGTGGCTTTAAAACCATGCTGGGAGCGTGTGCATGTGTGCCCCAAATCCAAAGAGCAGAGTGGAGAAGATTTCGGTGTGGCCATCTTGCGGGCCTTCCCTCTCTCTGTCTCTGTAGTGTGTACACATCCTATAACAAAAAGTTAAAAAAAAGTTTTTAAGTTCATATTAAAATTTTAGTGGCTACAAAAGAATAGTAATAATATTTGTATAAAGATAAGAATGCATTGGGGATTCCCTGCATTTATCTCCTAGTGTAGGAAAGAATATCACATGTTCCTGCGGGTTCTTCCCCATTGCATCTCTTCTCTCTCTGCCGTCTGCCGTAACCCCTCTCTGAATGTCATATTTGTCACTCTTTTTTTTTTTTTTTGGAGAGGTTTTTGCTATAGGGTGTGTGCGCTCGCCAAAA